CCAACCGCTGGGTCTTCTCCATCCCCCACGGGTCTGATCCTGCCTGCACCTGGAAAGCCTCCTATGCCCAGCTCAGCACCTTCCACCGCAGCCCCGAGTCCCCCCGGGGTGTCTGGGGACCTGCCCTGTCCCACCGCTGGTGCCCTCGGAGCCGCGCACCCCGACGCAGCAGGATGGAACCATCACCAGCTTTCATCTGGGCACAGCAAGTCACAGCTGGGTCCTCAGCCAGGTCCCCAAGCCCTGGCTCCACCACCCGCAGATGGAAACACACGGGAACAAACCCCAGCATCCATTTCCACTGGGCCAACCCGCGAGGTCCCACCCAGCACAGATGAACCTTTCTTTGCTCCACCACCCGCTGCCAGCACCCAGCTCCATTTTGGTGACCCACTCACTAACCATAAAACTAACCCCCTCGGTGGTCTGCAGGATGGGGGTCACCAGGACCACCTCCCTGCAAAGGTTTTGCTGCTCCTAAGCCTGAGGGAGGGAGACCCTGGTGGCTTGGGGAGACCTGGCTTCGTGTGCCGGGTCCCACCACCACGTGTCTCCCACCTCCCTCATGTGCATGTGGTGTCCATTTAGCACCCAAAAATGAATGATCCCAAAGAGTTCTGGGAGGGGTGGTCAGGGCTGGTGAAGGTCTTGTCTATTTGCACTGCCAGGTGGGTCACCAAAGGCATCCCAAGGGGACACTGGCTGGAGAGAAGGGCAGGGTGCAGGGAGGGCTCTGTCTTCAGTGAACGTTATTGCTGGTGAATTAGACCAACAAGCCATTTTTAGTCACCTATCAAGGAAGATACAAGTCAGAGCAAATAGTTAAGGTCATGGGCATTTTTCTCCTTTGTTTTGTTTTGTTTTTTTTTTTTTCGTTTTTATTTGTTTGTGGTTTTTTTTTTAAGGTTTTTTTAGATATATACATATATTTCAAGAGAGAAAAAAAAAAGAGAGTTATGCAAATTTGTTGGTTTTAAGCCCCACCACCGGGCTCCCCATGGATGTGAACAGGCAGGGCCCAGCACTGCCCCTCTCTGGGTGCTCCCTGAGGGGCTTGGGGGGGGGGA